TGCAACTGCAACATCCCGACTGCAGCCCCAGCGATCTCTTGTAAGCGATACAAGGCAGCAACAGCAACTACAACAACAACAAGAGCAGCAGCAGCAGCAGCAGCAGCAGCAGCATCAGCATAGTCAACAACATCAGCTAAAATGCATAATTAATCGTTAGTAACAGCGCGTTGCACTTAGTAAGCCCACATGCTTTGATCGCTCATTCTGAAATGCCAATTGCAAATGTTGCATGTTGCAGGTTGGCTGGCTGCGGGTTCCTAGTTGCCAGTTGCTGGCCGCTGCTGCTGCTGCTGCTGGCTCTCTTTGAGTCGCTCTAAGTCTGAGTTGAGTTGATTCCCATGCCGTCATTAACAGCTTTTGGGTAATTTTATGCAGGCTGGCTGGCGGGCGGGCAGGCAGGCCAGCAACAACATTCGCTCAACTCGTCTGCACGCCCTACCCCCTCCCGGCCTCCCTCACCCCCGCCTCACCCCACCCCACACTGCTCGCTGTCAACAACTCTAGACACGTTTCAACGATTTTCATGTTGCATGCTACGCTCTAATTTATGCAAAATGCTGTTCTTCTTCTGTAATTCATTCGCAGGCTGCGTGGCTGCCACATCGCCACTCTGCCACTCCGCCGCACCACTGACATTGCTACCTCATTTTTGTTCACATTTAAACGCATAACCGTGGTCGAGAAACCTTAGCATTATTTATTTTTATTTATTGTCTCGTTACATATGCAGGTTTTTTTGTTTACCAAATTCTTTTTTCGGCAACAACAACAGCAACTCGTTGAACTTGTTTGCCTTTTCTGTTCATTAGTCAAGTTGACGGCCAACTTTTTGTTGGTTGCCACCACATACATTAAATGCTCGTATGCTCGTATGCTCGTATGCAAGACGGATGTTGTTGTTCCATATCTGTCTTGCAATCTATGAGCATTTAATTGCTTTTACTAAACACTACTTGCATTGCGCAATGCATTTCAATGGCGTGAAGTCGATCAGTGTTGGCCGGAAATGGACAGATTCGTTGACATTGAACCAATAAGCAACTGGCGACCACTTGAATGGCGCCCCCAAAACATTGTTCGACACCAACAGTCTTCAAGCAGGAGGCAGCTTAATAAACTCTCTTGTAATTGGTTCGCATATTTCTTAGCACCATCGACACTATAAGTAAGTATAAGTAAGTGTGATATGAAACAGTTTTCTGTTCAGTTCCCAGGCATGCAATTGAGCCATTTTCCACAATAACTTGGTTTGAAAATGTAATTGCTGTAAATTAGACACAGATTCCATGCTCCAGACCAAGACTCTAGCTTCTAAAAACTCCCACAGTTCTTAAACAGCAATTAAATAAAATACGATGCTGATGATGATGATAAATGTAATTTCATCAAATTAAAGCACATCAAAACACAAAAACGTTAGAGAATCACATGAAAGAGATTACATTTTGGAGAACAACATCAACAAGTGGAAAGACGGAATATAGGAACGCACAATAAGTTGATTCAATTAAGTGCGGAAGGCAACACACACACCGAGAGGAATTGAAATCTTTGGAATAAACCAAAACAAAATAATTGACATAATCAGTAAACAGAGAGTTCGTAGAAACGCCAACGTCTTTCCCCAGCCGAAAAGCCTACACGACCCATACGAAGTACAGTTGGAAAATGAAAATAAACATAGAAATAAAGCAAATGCTATTAAATTTATTGTAAGTACTCTATAGGTAGTGTGTTCTCGTATGACAAAAGCGGCAAGGCAGCCAAGCATGAAACGTGAGCGTCGAAACTTGTGATGGATGTGCCACACCAAAGAGAACAGGTGGGCAGCAGTGGCAGTGGCAGTGGCAGTGGCAGTGTCAGTCGAAGCGTGCTACACAGACACACACACACACACACACACACACACCTGTTAGAATGCCGTGGGAATGCCGATGCGCAACAGTCGCACATTTTCGGCTGCCAGTCTCCACACAGAACCAGCCCCTAAAAGCAAAAAGCAATTACACAAATGGCCCAAAATTAAGCTACACTCTGCGTATTCACATCCTACTTGTAGTATCTGAGGCAGGGTCGCTCCTCACACGTTTACTGTTCAGCTCTGTGCAGCAAGATGCGCTTGACCATGAAACGTTGCACTTGCCGGTGGTGGTTGTGGCCCCGACTTCGGTTACGGTCAGCCAGCTATGACCAACATGGATGCGCTCGAGCTGCTGCCAAAAAAAAATATATATACACACAATTGGTGTTGCAGTTTCTGGACAAATGCTAGCGGAAATGCGGCAAATGAAATAATTATACTAGACCAGTAAAAACTTTACTTGGCTTATCAATAATATGCATACGCGTCCATGAGCTGTAAATGGATTATCCATCTGTGTGAATCTGAGTGAACTTTATCGCTTTGATTTGCCGATGGCGCTTGTTTGTGGGGATGGGGTAAGCAGACTTCCTACATAGCACAAATAGTTGCTGCTAACGGTAATGCTAATGGCAATGACAGCACCACAGCGCCACAGCACCACAGCACCACAGTGCAGCTCAAAATCGTGTAGGTCTCTGGCAAACATGACAACTGACAAAAGCAACATGCATCAAGCAGCCAGCCAGAGAGTCGGCCAGTGAGCCAGTCAACCAGACAGACAGTTGGACAGACAAACAGACAGACAGACAGACAGGTAAGCAAACAAACAGACAGCAAACTTATCCAGAGCCAGAGAACAACATTTCAATTAACAAAGGCCACATCACTAGCTATCGGGATTGTGGCGAGGGAACGGGCGACGTCTAATCGCCGCTTGTCAAAATAAAGTTGTGTGGCATCACAACAGCCCAGTCCTAGTCCCAATGCCACTCTCATCCCGATCCCAGACGTGCTGGAGCATGGCACAACTGCCACTGCCAGCATTCATGTGTATCTGCTAAAATGCGCAATTAAGTCATCAAATGTTTGGCGTGAGCGTCTAAGTGTCTTGGCAGCAGGCAGCCTGCAGTCCATGGTCTGGTCCACACTGAATGGCCACAGCATTACACTAATGCACATTTGGGTGCAACCAAGAAACCAAGAAACCAGGAAACCAGGCTGCCAAACAGCCAAGCAGCCAAGCAGCCACTGGCAATGGGAACAGAACAGCCGCCCAACAAGCCATCGCACAGTGTGATGTTTTGAAAAGCTGGCTGCACAGAAGAGCAAAAAATTGCAGCATCCATAAGATGTTTGCATTAGAATAAGCACCTAAATAAATTAATAAATGTTATACAATAGTAATCAAATGTTGAAAACATTTAAAACAATTAATTTGCAAAAGAAAATGCAACCACAAAATTTCTTTCATCAATGTTTCTGTTTCTAATAATAGATTAACAAAATATTCCAAAAAGAATTTCTTTTACAGAATACTCAACAAAGACGGATAAAGTACAAACCCTACACAATTTTGTGCATTCTTAGATGATATTTATATACATTTATTCACAATATTTTACCCCACAAATTCAAATCTCTTATAATAAATTTTACATAATTGAAGAACTACTAAGCGGAGCAACTTTCAGTTTAAACATCGTATTTAATTTTATTATTTTTTTTTTTTTTGTAGCCTAACAATAAAGTCTTATCATGTCAAAAATGTCTGTATCCTTAGATGGTATTTATAAATATATTTAAACACAATATTTCACCCCACAAATTCGAATCTGAAATAATAAACTGTACATAATTAAAAAACTACTAAGTGGGACAGGTTTCAGCTTAAAAATCGTATTTAAATATGTTTTTTCTAGCCCAACAATAAAAGCTGTCACAAATTTGTGCATCCTTAGATGATATTTATAAATAAATTTATTCGTAATATTTCACCCCACATATTCTAAGCTCGAGTAACAAACTGTGCATAATTAAAGAACTACTAAGCGGAGCAACTTTCATTTTAAGAACTGAATTTAAAAATTTTTATTTCTAAGAATAAAGGTTTATCATGTCACAAATTTCTGAAAGGTTAGATAGTATTTATAAAAAACAATTATATTAATTAACAGAATATGCAAAAAAGAACAGATAAAGAATATCCAAAAAGGACCGATAAAATACAAACCCTACACAATTTTCTGCATCCTTGGATGGTATTTAAACAAATTTATTCACAATATTCCAATCCACAAATTCAAATCTCATATAATAGGTTTTTACATAATTAAAGAACTTCTAAGCGGGACAGTTTTCATTTGAGAATTGTTTTTAAATATTTATATTTCCCATCTAACATTCAAGATTTACCATATTTAGATAAGTCAGTAAAGTTGATTGAACATTTTATTCAAGCCGCTTGGACTCACTGTTCTTCTTCGGTTTAGTTGGCCGTGTGGTTCCATTTAGTTGTCCGTCTTGCGTCTGTCTGGCCTGACATGTGGTCGAGAGCGAAAATGTTACAAGTAGAACCTAACTTTTACTATTGCTAATGAAGCTTGATGCGCGCGGCGCGCACCGCTTGGAGCCGCGAACAGGATCTAGTTAGTGTCCGTGTATAGGTGCGACAAAGCGCCGTTAGCTGCAAGTTAATACAACTTCCGCGCCTCTAATGCCCAGCGCTCGGCTGGGCTCGGGCTCAGCTGCGTTCGCTTTACGTGTACTTAGAGCGCGTCCAATTTATCAAACTGAATTGTTACGACCTGCCAGCTCATTATCGTGCCACTTGCGAGGCGTAGGCGTTCCAACTACAAGTCATACTCAACCTGACGCTGCTGCTGCTGCTGCTCCTTGGCGCTGCTGTGGCATGCAACTCACGTTTCATGTTTCTCCTATGTTCGAGGGTTTCTGTTTTTTTGGGTACACTGGTATGCTATCTTCTAGCGCTGATCTAAGTGTACTACACGTGTTTTTTCAACTTAATTGTGACAGACAGTCGTACTAAGCGCAATGCCAGTGGAAATACAAAAGCATATCAAGCGGTTTCCTGCAGCGTACGTGGATTGATCGTTTATCTGGAATATCTCAGCACATGCGCTGTACTGTCCACTTTGTCTCCACCTGGCACTTTCTCTACTAAGCAAGCGAGTAAACTGTAGTGCTGACTAACTGACCAGAAGGCCCCATTCCGGCCAAGTCGAATGTGTTTGGAGCAGGTGTGCAAGCTCTAGTAAATTAATTTACGGATATCTTGCTCACAAAACCGTCAACATGGCAGCATAGTACAGTGGTTTAAATTATTCACAAATTTGCAAGAATAAACCTTGAATTCTATCTGTCTATTCAATGAATAATTAAATTGGTTCATTGCTTTTTTAACTCTTCCTGATTATTTTAGAATTTGCTTGAAAAAAATCAAGCAGCGCGAAATCAGATTAACTTTTCAGAAATGCCACATTATTTTTTATTTAACTGAAAAGCAATAAAATAACTATTATGTTAAAACAAACAGAAAGACTTTTTTAGTTTAACAAATAATATCGTTAATATCGTTGTCATAGCTTCAAAATGTTTCTTTTTAACAAATTCAAACAAGATTCGACTGTGAATTGTCAAATTTGGAAATTCTTAATCATTTGGAAAGTTAGTTCACATTTTGCTCACCTCTCTCATGAATTTGTAAGCGTTCTATTTTTAACCGACTTAAAAAAAGGAGGAGGTTATTATACAGACTGTTTTCAAGTCTCAATTTTGAATTCAACTACTTGTAGTAGCCAACGGCTACGAGTATGGCGATCGGAACGATCCGCAGACACTGTGCACTTCGCATTTAGAAAACGAACACACGGCTGAGACTGAGAGAAGTGGCAGAAATGATTCAAGAAAATCACGATTTCTAACTTGACTCTGTTGGCTACTGTTTTGTGTCAGCGTGCAAATCAAATACGCCAAGTTGCTTTTGTCTTGGCTGCACATTTGGCCAATTGTGCGGGCGAGTTCCGCATCGCAGTCAACGTTATGTCCAACTTCGTTGCCACTTTCACAATTTGCGTGGCACACGGCGGCGTTTGAGAGCAAAACGTTGTCGTTCATATGACACTTGTGCCAGTTTTTGGCTTAAGAAATATTATGTATAAATCTGCATAAATTTCATTTCGGATAGCTACTAGATTTCTAGCGCTGCTAAGTCAAATGGCTTTGGGGGAATTGAAAAGCAAGTGTTTCTGACAATGACAATGGCTTGCGTTAAATGCAATGACAAATCAATTTGTCTTGAATGTGCGTGGGCCATAGTCGCCAACATATTTTGCAATTATATTCGGGTAATTGTTATAATTAAGCGGCAAGCTTGCTGGCCGCAAGCCAAAAAGCCAAGTTAACAATAGGCCTAGGCCAGAGTTGCTGCTGCTTGTCGGACACGGACACTTTTTGGCAACAATTTGTAGGCTGTTTGAAACGCGTCTTCGGCAATGACAGCGAAAACACTTGAGCTACTTTTGTCTGCCCATTCACTTATCATTATTTTTGTGAAGTACCTGCCGCTTACAATGTGCCATTGTGGGGCAAAATGATGGCCATTATTTTAATTAATTTCACTTGATGATAAATAATTATTTTCGGCAACAAAGAGCATTTCCATTAACAAGAAACTTGCAATTAGGCAAAATGAAACTGGTTTCTTGGCTTCCTTTGCGCACCACGTTCTAAGCCTCTACTTTGACTTATGGCCACTAAATTACGTGTGCTTATGGCCAGCAGTGGGATCATCATCATCGTCATCGTCACTGTGATCTAAGCAGGCGCAGAGGCGCGAAATTGACTTGGCAACCACAAAAGCCGCGCGCAAGCATCGCACAGGAAAGTAAAATATGTAATCACAATAATAAAGAAACAGGAAACATAAAAAGCTCACAGCAACGCCCTTCAATTTGGCCAAGTAAGCGTTGTTTCCATCGCCCCCCTCCCCGCCTCTACCCTAACTCTTAGAGCACTTGCTGCTTAGTCTACCCGTGCCATGGTTATACGCTCTCTGTTTTGTGCAACCCCGCCAACGCCGCGCTAATTTTATTTGCGGTTTTTGATTTTATTTTATAAATATGTTCTTTATATAGCAAGTAGTATGTATTTTTTCTTCTTCGCCAATTATTATGATTTCCACTGCTTCGCTGCGGCTTGTTACTAGAGTTTCTGATTGGTTTTCTGTGTTTTAAAATTGAATTTCCCCTACCGACAAAATCAATCATCGTTCGTCTTTTCACTTGCAAATTTCTTGCCGCCATTCCAGTATAAACATATATATGTATATATACTTGGTAATGTATTTTATTGGTTCTCGTTGATGTTCTCCGGGGTGTTAATCAATAAATTTGTCGCTTTGTTTGAAAACTGAAATGTGGCGAGGCTGTTATAAATAAATTTACGGCCCGTGTTCGCCTTTGTAGCTTGTGCTTCGACATATTACATCAACTTCGGCACCTCAGACAATGGACACAGAATGTTGCCCATTAAGTTATCAAATGGCGCGTTCTTTTGTGTCTTTCAACTTTGGGCTCCGGCTCATAAGATTTTGACACTATTGTCATTTAGAACATTGGGCGCTTAATTACACACACAAAAAAGACAAACACACACACACATGCAACATACATCAGTTTATAAATTAAATTAAAGTGACTGAAGGATTGTATACTTGTATAGTTTGTGGGCTGCTTGATTGAGTCACGTTTGGGGTTTTTACGGCACTCATAAAGCAACATTTATGGCCAACTGGCTTATGGCTTTATGGCTAGCAGCAGGCAGCTACTATGAAGTATGAAATATTTGTAATTGAAATTTTGTTCTGTTCTTTGTTGATATTAAAATAGCTGCGGAGAATGTAAAGATTGTCCTAATTAAGTAGTCTATCGTAAAAGTTTTTCTCAAAAAGAGCTGCCCCATTTAGTAATACTCACAAACGCCCAAAAAGGGGCTTTAGTAATGGTCTCTAAATGGCTCATGTGCGGGCTATTTACAATTCATGACAGATAAATTACGCGAGTTAAGAGTTTCGAGCTAGGTGGTGCACATGTGAACGCCCATTCCGAAAGCTGACAGTAAAACGTTAGGAAAAATTACTCATACGCCCCCTTTCACTTGAAGCAGTGAGCAAATTAAAAAGCCAAATTAATTGCAAAAAATAAAATGGCCGCATTTTGTAGGCCGATACTAAGACCTTATTCTATAGCCGGCGACCGACTGCTCGGATTTGCTATTATTTAGCAATTACTTGTGGCTTGGCGCAGTTGTTTTTTTCCATTTCAATTAAAATGCCATATATCATGAGTGCGTTGGTCGGTCTCATTGCCAATCAGCTAGCCAGCCAGCCAGCCAGTCGGCCATGTCGGCGACCAGCTAGTCTGCCGCCAAGGCAGCACATCCGATTCCATTAAAATCAAATGCGTACCTCTGTGTTTTTTCTCTCTCTCTTTAAATCAAAGCACATCGTAAAACGATAAGCCCAAGACATTCAGAGTGCTGGCGGGACCACCCGGCTTTTGCCGACTTTAATTATCACTGGCTCACTGGCTCATTGGCAATGAGGTAGACCGGGGGCCTAAGAAGTGTTGACTTGTTGTGCTTTAAAGGAGACCGCTGGCCTCTGCTGCTTCAACTCTACGCCCGGCCGCGCTTATTTATTTAGTACTTATATTTTATTGTACACTGTATTCTGCAATGCTACCAGGTCCAAGTCGAACGCGTTTGGAATTCCTATGCAAAGTGCTGGGTCGCTGCCCCCCTTTCTGCTTCTGATGCCGATTCTGTTGCTGCGCTTAATTACGCTTTAAGTAGCCGCAGTCAATATTGGTTTTGGTTTATTTGACTTGGCGTTGCGAACGGAAATTTAATAGGCTCGGTGGCTTCTCTGTCTCTCTGTGTGTGAGTGTGTGAGTGTATGTGTGTGAGGCACTAATGAGTGCCTGGACATATGTACAAGTATATGCATTTTATTTGCCATTAAATTCATGCTCATTCCAGCACGCAGTTCAGTTCAGCGCAGCGCAGGGCAAGGCAGGGCAGATGACGCGCATTGAATGCTCATATTTCTGCGGACAATCTTTAGAAGAGCAGCCAACTTTGTGCAGACATGCCCGTACTACAGTCCAGCTTCCTCTAGGTGAAACATATAAATATCGCCTTTTTATATCAACTGAGTACTACTAAAATATTGAGGCAATTCATTACGATTTTGAACTGAAATCAGATTCCTGTAGGAATTGTTTTAGCTACTTACAACCAACTTCTTAAAACAAGCTCTAGTCCTATTGTAAACGAATTAGTCGGAATTAATAACCATCGGTTTTAAAAATGAACTCAAATAACAAGACAGAAGGCAAGGTAGGTTTCGTTACGATTTTGAATTGAAATCCGATTCCTGTAGGAATTGTTTTAGCTACTTACAACCAACTTCTTAAAACAAGCTCTAGTCCTATTGTAAACGAATTAGTCGGAATTAATAAACATCGGTTTTAAAAATGAACTCAAATAACAAGACAGAAGGCAAGGTAGGTTTCGTTACGATTTTGAATTGGAATCAGATTCCTGTAGGAATTGTTTTAGCTACTTACAACCAACTTCTTAAAACAAGCTCTAGTCCTATTGTAAACGAATTAGTCAGAATTAATAAACATCGGTTTTAAAAATGAACTCAAATAACAAGACAGAAGGCAAGGTATGCTTCGCACATCATTGGGATAAGGGGAAGATCCCTATCTACAGCATTTAAAAAAAAGATGATGTTTCATTTTTAATTTAATATTCTAATGTTCCGCATAGTGTATAGCCACTGTAAATGGTTACCAATTAATGCTTAAAATACATATGTATATGTATACTTTGTAGTTTGCGATCTTATCAGTGCAAATTTATGCAACACTTTGGCAGAGCTCAGAACCTTTTCAATCAGGGCTTTATGACTGCAGACTCATTAACGCAGAATCTAATTAAGCAGGCGGATATTAATGAAAACGTTGTAGCTGTTAAGTTTCACAGTTTGGCCCCAACTTGGGCGCATAAATCAAGGAGGCCGACGGTGGCAAATGTAAATTGCAATCGGGCACGCAAACAAAAGATTTGCAACTCCGGCTACCAAAAGCGGCAGCGCGAACAAAATCATGCAAATGAAGCGATAAAAAGGCACAAGGCAGCGAAAAATGCAAAGCAAAAGGTGCGATTTATGAGCCCAGCAACCGTCGAACGCACCACCGAAAGGTAACACAGAATACAAGTATATATCCATAACTATGTTGCCTGATACAATATCTTATCGATTAAGCGCAAAGGTGCAGCGATGTGCAAGGGAAAGATCTTAATTTTTCAGCAGAGGCTAAGCCGTTGAAGGCTCCTGTTGTTGGCCGCCTTAAATATGGGGTTATTAAGACGACATATGGAATTTATGAGTGCAGCGCCTAAGGCAATTGCCAGGCAGACGGGGCAGCATCAGGCGAGCACTCATTGCACATTGAAGTATGCAGTGCAAACAGAAAGTGACAAAGGAGCGTGTGCAGCGAGCCGGAGACAGAACTGGATGGCAACTTCGACTTGGGCCTGTCATGGAAGTTTCGCCAACTTATTTAACTTTTTGCAACTTTGAACTGCTGCTGCTGTTGCCACTTAGCTCCATGCAATTCATTTAGCTGTTAACAAAACTTGACAAACATGCGTTGGGGGCACAAAGGATGCGGCACGTGTTGCAGAGCGACTTGGTGGACTTGGAGCTAGGACCAAGACCGGGACCGAGATCGGGACCGGGACCAGTGAGGCGGCAGGCCAGTCATGTTGATAAATAACTCTGGGTGTCAGTTTTGTAAATAGCTGCGCATTAATAACGCCTTTTTAGTGCCAACAATGTCCGAGCACTGCAGTCAAGACTTCAGTTGAAATATGAAACCTTCTTTGCTTACAGACATGCCCATATACATACATATATATACAAGTATATATACATACTTAGGCAGAGGCATCGCGACTGGGCTTAGGCTTAAGCGCTCGCTGCTCCTTTTGAGCGCATCAACGAATTAAGTTGTATTTCTCTTTTATGAATTTATAACTTGCGGCTGCTTTGCATAAATTATTTAATTAGAGACCTGCAGAAATATTTGTAAGCCAACCTTTTGCGATTTCGCATTGTCTGGTCAAAAGCGAAAATAAATAAGTGTAGACAAGCATTAAGAATTCCATGCCTGATTGATCATAAATGAATGGCTTATGAGTCTTGGGTGAGCTATAAATGTCCAGAGTGCACAGAAATATAAAAGAAGGAGGGGTAAGAGCTGGCCCAACAACACATAAGAGTATTAGTGGAGAAGGGTGTTCACTTGCTCAGATCGAGCTTGTTAAAAGAATTTTATGGGTGGGTCCCTAACTTAAAAAAAAAACCTCTTTTATTTTAATTTTTGTGCTCATTAATATATCTTCTATTGATATGTATAAGTTATATAATTTTCTACTTTTCTTATGAAGATCATTCGAAAATTAAGAAATTATCATCTTAAAAGCATTTAAAATCTCTTTAATTGTCTTGCCAATCCTTAAATTAATGGAAATTTTGGTTCAAATTAAAAATTGTAATGGCAAATACCAACATTACCGCAATACCATCCACTTAAAACTGTAAAACTGTATTGCTTTTGATACACATCGAACAAATAATTAATTCAAAATATGTAAATGACTAAAAAAAAGTTTCATTTAAACTACATATCTTAGGAGCGAATATTTGTAATATCTTAAAACAGGTCCCACTCTCTTATATCTTCTTTGAACATATTGAAATCTAGACAGCAAATTATCTCTTAATAGTTCCAGCCAAGTAATGTTGTTTTCCACTTACCATAGAAAGGCATAGTGTGGGTAGCTAAGGTTTTTATTTTAAGCTAATTTTGAAAGCTTTTTTAAAACTAATACCAATTGTGGCGTTTGCCAGCTCAGCATGTTAATCACAGCAATTCAAAGCATTCTGTAATACATATATAAAGCTATTAAATCTTCATAAAAACAAGCCTATAAAATACCCTGGGAGCCTTCATCGTTCCATAACAGGTCATTGGTCATAATTCTGCGATTCCCACCAATTTGATGGACCATTAAAATGGAATGCACTCTTAACTCTTTTGTATGAAGCGCAACAAATGCATTTCCAATTAGCCTATGTCGAAATAAGAGGCCAGTTCCAATTAACAAAACTCAAATTTGAGTCCCAAAATCGTTCTGCCTCTCAAATAGTGGAGCAACAAATTTGGGCAGTGGCAAGAATTATGGTTGTTGCGATAGCCGAAGCATTAGGAATGAAAGCAACAACGAGCGGCGCATTAAGTGGCTAAACTGGATTAGAAGTTGTAAGTTGAACTCACGTTTTGGCAGCCAGGCTGCTTTGAAGATGCTGCTGTTGCTGGTGTTTCTGTTGAGGCGGCGGTGGTGGTGCTGGTGGTGATGGTGATGGCGGTGGCGGTGGCTTTGACTGTAAGCCGCCATCAAACTTGGCCAATTGTTCTTCAATATCGCTTAATTGTATATCATCTGCAATTGCTGCATTGAGGTAGCAGTGCGTTGTTGCCTCTTCATCCTCCCGTGCTGTTGCTGCTGCTGCAGTTTCCCTAGACTCCAGCAGACGTTCCACATCACTCGCCTTACTGCTGCGAGTATTTGGCACCTGCAACCAAACCGTGCTCCGATTGCGGCACATATTCAAATTGCGCAAATCGCTGAAGGGCAGCAAACTGCGACGCTGTTGCGGTTGCTGTTGTTGTTGTTGTTGTTGTTGCTCCTGCTGCTGTTGCAACAGTTGGTGTTGCTGTTGTCGCCTCTTTTCACCCTCGAGTCGCGCCAGCTGGGCAGCAGTTAGACTGCCCGTCAGCATGGCCACCTCCACATCATCGTCAGTCTCGCCGTTGCACGAGATGCCCGACGAATGAAAGTTGTCATCGCTGCTGAGCTTGTTGGCCACTGGCTGATGGCAACAGCTTTGACGGCTCGTCGATCGACTCAAATCGTAGCTAATCAAGCTCGATTGCTGCGAGTGCAGGGCCATGGCCAAGGTGGGGGCTGGAGCTTGTGATGAAATTTCTGCTGGCAGCTCCAATGAAATGTCGCAGGGAGCTAGTGTTAGCTTCAATTGCTTTGGCTTCGTTTTGGTCTTGATGGCCGCCTTAATGGGTGGCGCTGATTTGAGGGCTGAAGAGGCGCAGGATGCAGCAATTGTTGTTGTTGTTGCTCCAGTAGGAGCTGTGCGATTTTTCGAGCACGAAGCTTTCACTTTCTTAGGCGTTAGTCTGGTCACCTTGGAGAGACGTGATTGCTGAACAGGCGTCACAGCCGGTGCCTGACTCGGCACAATGCTGCGCTCTGCAGAGGCGGAGGCGGAGTCGGAACGTTGCTGCGTTGTTTGTTGGGCATTGGGTGGGGCACGACGTCGACTGCGTCGAATGCTTGGCATGTTGCGAGGGAACAACTTGCTGACGTCTGCCTGGGAGCTTTTGGAGACGCTGTCTGGGCAGGAGCAGCTGTTTGTTATTGTGCCACTGCTGCCGCTGCTGCTGCTGTCGGTGATGGCTGCAGGCGGAAGCTCGGTGCGCACAATAATCTCGCGATAATTTTTGGCTGCCTCGTTGTGACTTTGTGGCAGACAGATTTTCCACCAATGCTTTTTGGCCAGTAACTGAGCACGCTTGCCCAACGGCAACTTGCCGCTTATTGTCTGTTGTTGCAACATCTTAGCAAATGATCTAGCACATTGTTAACTGTAAGTGCTTTCGTTTTGGAAAATCACAAATTGCAAGTCAATTGACACATTAACGACACATGCAATGACGAATCACTTGATCTTGATTGATCGACAGGCTCGACAGACAATAACTGCAACTGACACTGCAACTGAATCTGCAACTGCAGCTTTGAGCGCATGTGAGGCGATGACGAGCAATCGCGCAATCGAACAATCGTGTTTGGTATGCGCACAGCAATTACTGTCCAATGCAATTACAGTCCGTTTGTTCTAATTACGTGCGCTGCATTTGCCGCCGTGGCAGACGCGCAAAATCAATTAGCCCGGAGGTGCGTGGACACGTTTCGAGTTGAAGAGCAAAGTTGGCGCATACACGCGCACATTTGTCGATAGCAAAAACCGCTCGAAAGAGAAAAACCCCGATAGTCGCAATAACACAAACCGCTCGGCTTGAAGCTGCGCGAACGACTGAAGTGGATGGCGTCTAAGTTTACGCTGTGAGGCGCTTGCATAGAAAGTTGCCGTTGACCAAAAAAACAAAAACAAAACAACAACAACATTAACGGCAGCAACAAGAACTGGCCAGGTTGGTGCAGGTAAGTGCTGCCAACTCAACACACTTGTTTTCGCTACTGCTGCGCCGGTAAAAAAAACTCACCACGATCTCTCTCTCTCTCTCTCTCTTCGTCACCCACTCTGTTTCTCTCGCACGTGCGCTAAGCTCCGCTCACTTGGTCAAGTGCAGTCCGACAGGTGTGTGTATGCGTGTGTGTGTAGAGAAAAATTGAGTTCGCTGCTTCGAGTGCGGCTTGAGCTCTTCTTGAGCGGAACTCCTTACTGGCCGCATTCTCTGCACTTATTACAAGTTTTTAGTGTGAATTGGTAGCTGCAGTCGTTGTGGTTGCCTCTGCTTGATTGGTTGCAGGCCATTTGACATATTTCAGGCATATTGACCCATTTTATAGACAGCCGCACCAGCTGCCTGAGCGGAACAGAGTGGTGTTTACAAAGCGTTCTGTTGCCACATTAGCAATGCCAAAGACACAACCTGTCATTAGGCCTGTTGCTGTTGTCGTAGTTGTTGTTATTGTTGTTGTTGCTGGGGATATACTTAAGCAGTTGTGTAAAGGTGTGCCTATGCGGCACTTCACAATTTTGCTTAACAATTTCTGAGAGACGGTAGCAAAAAGTATATTCCCCAAGTGCTTGTTAAAGATATTAACGCTAAGGAGGTAGGGCCATTATGTGTGACTGCTGAAAACGACATGATGTTGCACGTTTTCATTTAAAAAAAACAAAACTTGGATACTTTACTTGATACAGTAAATTAAAAGGGAACCCTTGAAGAGTTCTATATGATGTGTTTAATAATAATAACATTTGAAAGACTACCATACATACAAAACAGCGCTTAAAGTCTTAGACTAATTTAGACTAATTATTATCATAATTATACTATTTTTAGTTTATCGATTAAACATTGCATGTGCAATATGCAATCCAACGTTGCAGCAATTTTGATTTGCAAGTATATAGACATTTCGGAATCTTTTTTAAAAGCTTATTAGGAATATAAGATATTTAATATATGGCTCAGAGATACTTCCTTCTGTGCACATGGTAGGTAGATATGTTGTAAACTTTTATATAATTTCTAAACTGTAAGTTGATTATTTTTATTTTTTGTAACGGTTCAGCGTCTAAAGATATATAATTTTTGTAATTTTATTTGTAATCTCAATCCTTTCAAGTATTAGGCTACTTTTAATACGCTAGTCACTAATTTATTTCTAAACCACAAGCAAATTGAATTTGTGAAGTATTTGTGTGCTTACCATAAATTGCTCGTATCAACTAACTTTACCATTTACAAATTGTTTTAAACTTACTTTCGAAACTCCGAATAACAGCCGCGCTGCGATTGGCAACTTTTAACACAAATTGTTTACAAACTGTAATGAGAAAGAAAAAATTATTGGAATGAGTGTGATTGTGATTGTGAATGTGCACCTAGGAATAATATTTACGCACAGGCGCGCGAGCGTAGCAAATTAGCCAAAAATTTACAACTAATTAACGGAACAGAAATCAAAAGCCCAAGTTTTAAGAAAAAGAGGGGAACAAACAAACAGAGAGACTGTCTGACAAACGGACAAACGGGCAAACAGACAGACGGACCGAGAGCAGAGACGAGCAAACAAAACGAGTGTGAAAGTATTTTAATTACCAGCATTGCAATGTCAACTTTATTTGACAGTTCTACTGAACATTTCATGGACCGAAATGCGCAAAACGAAACAATTTTGATTAAAACTGCGCCACCGAACGCAGTGTCAACAAATGTAGTTGGCAGTTGGCAGTTGAATGGAGTGGTGTGGCAGTTGCCGCACACAGCAGCACCTGAAACTTTGACAATTCCCATTTTGGCTGGCAGGACACGGTTGGAAATGCTGAAGCCAACAGGTAAGACTCAACTGCAAGCGAGACAAATAAGGTGGAAAATGGAGAAAAAAGGCAACTGTAACAAACTGCTGTGGTACAAGGGTAACAAGCACCACCATCACCAGACCACCACCCCGATCCCCTCGCAACAATTGCAAAGGTCGTAAAAGTTGAGATTTTAACGCGCGTTGTACACGTGTAGCTGATGGCGATAGCGTTCGCAATGGCGGTCGCACTCTGACGCAGCTGACGCCGAGAGACCATCACCATCGGGCCTTGGCAGGCAGCAAGCAGCAGGCAGCAGCAAACCGGCAAGATGGCAAGATGGCGTCATAAAGCACTAAAAAGTATTAAAACAATTTACACTTTGTAAAAACAACAGCAACTGTGTGGCATGTTGCTGCACGTGTTGTGTCAGTGTCGAGCTTCGAGCTTGCAGCTCGGTGCTGGAGTTGGGCTTTGCCAAAGCTATATACATATATGTACATATATATTTATATATAGTACAAGTATATGTATATAGTTGTCGCCTTCCTTGCACTTAACATGTTGTTAACTTTTGCTTATCTACGGCATTCGGGGGCGTAGCTTCCAGTATTCTACAAGTATTGTACTCGTAAATGAAATGCTGTCGTAATCAACGCTGCCTGCGACAAACACGCTGCCATAATTTTTCTTTCTAAATTTAAATAGAATTTTGCGCTTATTTGCATACACAACGTGAAAGTCGTAAAGTGAAAAATTGAAAAATATATGAAATTTCCTTCAGCGCCAAACGATGCAGGGTGATGTGGCGACGTACATTAGAATCGGGCTCGCAACAATTTAAATGATGCACGAGTACTTACCAAACCAGAAGGAGTGTTGCATGTGCTAGGCTTACATATGTGTATACGATATAGAAAAGCACAGTGGGACATATAAATATTAGAATGCTGATTAACTGCTAAGGTGTTTAAATATTCTAATTGGATTAGCCTCCATTTTATGACCGAAAAGAGCGCTTCAAATATTTCCTAGTAGTAGTTAGTAACTCTCGAGGACTGTGAAACTTGGGCAAGTACATCTTGACTCAGGAATCGTGGATACTCAACCTAATTGTTCCTAAATATAGAGTATAATTCATAATGGAGTATTGTCTAAATATTACTTAACCAACAAATCAGTAAATTATTCAAATTGGTGAATATTTGGGAGGAAGGTTAAAAATAACTATATGAGAAGCATTTTATTAGAAAATATCTGTAATCTGAAATTAAGAGCTGTGCAGATTGGACTTGTCTCAATAATCACTGTTCACAGTAACAAGAGTTTCAATTAAAATTGAACAATTGCAAACACATTCAATTTAAAAGTTAATTGAAAACAAAGTCTGGCAAAGCGTTTAGCCTACTCTGTAGCACTACTCGTACCAAAAAGGAATATTCCCATAAAAATATTTATTAAACGTAAAGCATATGTTTTTTCTCCTAAATGCAAATCGGTCGGTTTGATTAAAGATTTTGTTTTGATTTTATCAGGCCTGTAGAAGGAAGAAATTTACATAAACATACATGGATTTAAGGCTATTCCATAGATAAAAATCGTGCTGTGCATTTGCGCCTCCATCACCTACAAGATGTTGCCATGCCCACCGTGCAACCATGCAACCATGCAACGGTTCCTTGTCTGCCATATCGACGGCAGCAGCGGGCTTCCCATATGAAAAATGCGCGCTCCATGCGTACAGAGTCCCAGTCATATTCCAGCGACTTCCTCTTAAGACAATAAGCACACAGCATAAATTCTAGGTTGTGGCAAAAACAGCAGGAGCCGCCACCACTGCCACCACTGCAGCCTCAGCCCCAACCACAGCCATAGTCAACGTAGGCGGCGGTGGCGGCGGCGGCGGCGGCAATGTTGTCGTAATGATGACGTTGCCTCGCCGACTTTGCTTATGAATTGTTGTTGCTGGTGGTGCTGCTATTGTTGTTGTTGTTGTTGCTGCTGCGGCTGTGCTGGAGAAATGTGGCAAAAGTCTGAAGTGGCACTGTGAAGTGCTCGCAGCAGCGGGTTGGGCACATAATATTTATGAAAAATATTTTGTATAAAAAGCAGCGACGAATGACAAAACAACAAGGCGCAATGATTACGTTGATTTACAAAATGGCGCTGATGACAGCCATACTGGAGCCTGGAATGGCTTGCGTGGGTCTACTGATTTTTAATTAAAAAAGCAGCAGAAAACAAAGATGAAGCACTAGATGCAGAGGCGGTATCAGAAGAAGAAGAACCATATCAACAGCTTCAGCCGCACATCGCTGGCAGTGGTGGAGAAAAAAAAGGAGGGAAAAGAACCAAAAGTGCGCGTCACAAGGTTTCCTTTTGTTAATCGACTTGATTGTAAATATTTTCTTTCTGCCGGGCTCCCCCTTCAGCATTTGTTTGTCATGCAACCTGCCACTGTTACTGCCACTGACTCTAACGGCACATTCACCCAGCAGTACCTGTTCTCTCCCCTCTCCCCCCATCCCTGAGCCACTGCCTCTGCCCAGTTTCCTCCCTCG